CCCGCCGCCGCCGCTTCGAGAGCTCGCCGGGCATGGCTCGCTCCAGGACCCCGAGGGCGTCCTCCGGCAGGTGAGCGGCGGCGGCGGCGGCGGCGTTGTGGGGGGCGGCTGACAGACGGGGAGGGGCTCTTCCTCGAGGAGGCCGGGCGGGCGCTGGGCTTTGTCTGCCTGGCCCGCGGAGGCAACGGAGCCGGGTGCGGCTTGGGCGGCGCTCGGAAGGCACCGGCCGCCGCGGAGAACCGGAGGGAAGGGGAGGCTGGGGCTCTTCGCCGGGGCGGAGGGAAGAGAGGCGAGGCTAGGCTAGGCGAGGCGAGGCGAGGCGAGAGCTGGCCGCGGCTTGCGGCGGAAGGACCGGGGCGCGAATGGAAGCCTCGGCTGCTCCGGACAGAGGCGGGGAGCCCCCCGTTAGCGCTCGTATTTTTCCCAGCGCGACGGACCCAGGGCGGCCAAGAGCCCTGCGGCTGCTTTCCGACTGAGAAATTAAATCACAACACTTTGGGCAGGCAACGAAGAGCCCATCGGAATCACCTTTTGAAGGAGGAATTGAACGGGATTTATTTGTTATTTATTAAATTTATATAGCTGCCCACCTCACACTTACGACTCCGGGCAGCGCACACAATTAAACCCACAAAATGCTGCACGGCTTTTGCTTTTACGCGTGTTTCTACGTGACATGACTGAGGGCTTACAAACACGATTTAACCGTTTTGCCGACCGCCTCGTACTTGATGAGCGAATACCATAGAGGACAGTGTGGAGACTGAGGAGGATCTTGAGAAGATGGAGCAGTGGGCAAAAACCTGCGAGATGGATTTCAGCAGGGGCAAATGCCAGGTTCTGCGCAACTATAGGATGGCAGGAAACCACTCTGGGCAGCAGGGCAGGCAAAAGGCCCTTGGTGGATTATAAACCAGCCATGTGATGCAGCTCTGAAAAAAAGCAGCGACAGTCCTAGGCTGCATCGACCGAGAGAGATCAGAAGAAGTCGCGCTTCTTTTTATTTTGCATTGGTCTGGTCAGATCATACCAAAAATTACTGCCTCCGGTTCTGAGCATTTTAGGAAGGTCATTTGGAAGCTGGAATTTGTGCAGAGAAGAGCAACCAAGACAGCAGGGGACTTGGAAGGGAGAGCCTAGGGGGAATAGCAGGAGGTGTTGCTGGAGATGTTTCTGGGGAGATCCAACAGTTGTCTTTCCCTTTCCTCAGGATCGTGTAGAGGATGGGGCATGTTGTTCGGAGTTGTTCTGGAAGGCAGGACAGGAAACAGCGGTTTAGTGTATAAGGAAGTAGATTTTGGTGGGACATCCCTTAATGGCAACCGCTATTCAGCAGCGGAACAGACTCCCACAGGACATAATGGACCCTCCTGCACTGGAGCTGTTCAAAGAGAAGTTGTCTGGCCATCTGAATTCCTGGGTTCCTGAAATGGAAATAGATTATCTTGGTTATTATTCTCTAATTCTGTGAAATGTTTAGAGAGAGCTCTGGTTTGATATTTCCACTCTAGTGGTGGCAAGCATAACTCTGGCCTATTTGAACTCATTAGTTGCCATTAATAATACTGGGTATTAAAGGTAGTTCAGGTAGACAGTCAGAAATATGCAGTAGATTGTATAACGTTTCCCTTCTAGACAAGAGGCTAACTTTTGGGAAGTCAGGGAAAAGAAAAATTCAAGGAGAGCCATCTGAGAAGACGTTAGAACAGATGGGAAACACAATCAAAATCACATTATACATAGAAATAGCTTCGGAAGATTGATTATAGAGGTCAGCGAATTAAACCTATTTTACATGAAAAGGAAACAAGCAATCAGATCACTGAAGACAAGGTGGCCAGATGCCGATGACACAAGCAGGAGCTTGCAGGATCTCAGAGCAGCAGTGGCTAGCAGAACATCCTGGCAAAATGATGTCCATCAAGTCACAGAGTTGGACGCAACTGAATGACTGAACAACAACTTTAAATTGGAGAGCTATATTAGGGAAGGGGGAGTCTTGGTCCCTGATCCTTCGATATTTCTTTTGATAAGTTTGGTGACAGAACTGAGAGAGAGCTTATCAGATCCATGGCAATGGATGCATCACTAGAAGACCTGAAGAGCCAGGCTAAGGACAGATCATGGAGGAAATCTAAGAGGCTGCTAAGAGTTGACGCTGACTTGATGGCACATAATCAAACCAAATGGTTAGATCTACAGGAGACACAGGTAGCAAATACCCTAGAAGGTATAGTGAATAGCCCAGAAGGCAGAAATAATATATAAAACAATCTTGGTTAGGTAGAGAAATGGGCTGAAATTAAGGAAACTTAATAAGAGACTCATGAAAAAGTCTTCATTTAAGAATCTGATAAACTTTGCACAGGAAAAGAATGGGGGGTAGCAGGCTTGATTAAAGGTGTGAAAATAACTTGGAATCATTGGTCACAAACTGAATACAAGTCACATGGCTGCTAAAATGCAACTGCAATTCAGGGGTCTTAGTGGAAGTAGAGTTTCAAATCCCAAGTAGCAGGAGTTCTCCTTTACCTGCATTGTCCAGGCTCCACCTCAAGAGTTATGATCGCCCACATGTTCATAAAGATTCAGATAAATCAGAAGAGGTGACAAGAACAGCAGCACCGATGATCAGGGGGTTGGAAGCCAAGTCCTCTAAAGTGAGATTGAAGGAGTTGCTGTGTCAGGAATGCCTCAGTTTGGATCCCTGCACCTCTGTGATTCTGTGATTTTATAGTAGAATTCTTGGTGTCCAAAATACCTCATAATAAAATCACTACATATGTTTGATCAGAATTAAAAAAAGACTTTATGCCAGTACAAAATGTTGAAAGAATTGCTACTAAAAGTCTAGGTAGGCAACTTGATATTGGCACAGGTTGTATAAAGTTCTAAAGTTATCTTGAGAAATCTTCTAATGTAATTGATGGTTGCAAAATTGAAAAGGCATCTTTGGACAAGCTTTAAAAAAGCAATAGTAGGTATGGCTCTCCAGCAAAACTAATGGTTGGGTCCAAGCGGTGGTGAGGGGAAGCTTCTGTCTTCCCCTTCGTCAAGAAGCCATCCTTGGATCTGATGGTGTTGGATAATTTCCTGCCTGTCTCCAGCCTTCTGTTTGGGGAAGGTTGTAGGGAAGGTGGTCAGCCAGCAGAAGGCTCTGGAGGAAACAGTTTTTCTGGACTGTTTCAGTCAGGTTTCATTTCTGGGCATAGGACTGAGATGGCACTGATCACTCTTGTGAACAACATTTTACGGTACATCCATCCTGACTTTCCTTGATCTCTTAGTGGCCTTTGATAACATTGAACATGATATCCTTCTAGACCAGCTCAGGATGGGAGGCATGGTGTTGCAGTGGTGATACCTTTAAAGTCATGCATGGCCCAGGGCCAGGTTGTCTGTGGGACTGCCTGTCTTTGATCATCTCTGCCTGTCCAATAAGACCTGAAAGGGTTTGCATGCTCCAGGTCCTGTTTCTTAAGTACTGTCATCTCATGGGACCCAGGAGATGTGTCTTCTGTCGCTGCACTTACCGTATGGAATATCTGCCCCCCCCCCCAGAACTGAATAGTTCCAGATCTGTACTATACCTGCTTTTCATAAAGCCTTAAAGACCTGTTTTCCCCCCAAGCCTTGGGTCAGGAGGGTTCATGATACTGTCTCATTGTTTATTTGTTGAATTGCCTTGGGTTTGATAGTCCCTTCAACGAGCCTATCATGCTAGTAAGAAACACAGCCACCCTGGAAGACTTTTATGGGGTCCCTCTAACCAACTTTTTTAGACTGAAGAAGCTGCT